CAGTTCAAACAAATGGAGCAGACTGGGACATAACATTTAAAAAAAAAAGAAAGGGGCAAGAGAGAATCAGTAAAAACACACAAACCAGGCATAAAAAAGGGTTTTAAAAAACAGGGGCCAGTGAGCAGAACGTTTACAAAAACAGCATGAAAAAGGCCTACTTTACATGTTCAAAATGTTGGTCAGGTAAGGAATCGGGCTAGTTGTATCAAAGAGTCTGAAATGGGGGACCTTTGGGAATGGAGGACCCTATTGTCCTCTATTGTTCAACGTCCCCTATTGAATGCAGAAACAAAACTCATACACACACACATAGGATAGTGGGGATGCCAATGTAACATCCATGTCACAACCAGGTAAATTAGTTGGCCATGACAACACCATAGCTACATGTAATCTAATTGCACATACCTCACGCATGTGGCAAGTCCAGCGTAGCATTGATTCATCATCGCCATAGAAACCGGCACAGCTAACAATGGCAGGCTCCCCATCTTCCAAACTACCGTAGAAAATAACAAGAGATAATTAACCAAGGGCTGCCAGGAATTGAGATCCACAGAAAAAGCATTCTCCCTGGTCTCATTTGACAACGCTAAACGTCTACATTTACATGTACAGGTGGCAAATTTTGTATATTAAAAAAGGTTGGCATTTATCAGCATGCATTTAAAATCAGAAAGATTAATTAAGTTAATCAACATCATAAATATTGATGCTTTGTGTAAACCGTGCCACCTGTGGAGTCATGCCAGTTAATTGGTTTCATCCCCAACCACATTGATACATGTTCAGACAGTGCAGAATGGAGCAATTTGCTTTCCCTAGTTCAAGTCTTAAAGGCATTACCAATCAACGGTGAACCCAAAAGAACATCATTATTTGTTGGATTGATAAAATGTTCCCATTTTGGTGATGGCTTCAAATAATGGAAAAATTGACTTTTTTAGAGTCAATTGTTAAAACTATAAAATGATACAGATGACATTGTCATCAACTACATCCATCTTTGTGTTCATTCCACATCTTTGTGAAATGACTTTTGTGAAAGAGCTGTTCATTTTTCTTTTTTTGAGGGGGGCGGGGGACTTGTGAAATTTTCTGTAAATCCATTTATCAAAATGAATAAAATGTATCTGAATAAATGTAACTAAGCCACAAAACATTTAAAATTGAATAACAATTTTTGTCATTTAAAATTGAATAGCAATATACATGTGTACATGTATATTCTGTTGTGTACAGTTCTAAATGCGCCTGGGCAATTCCACAGGTTGATGGACATGGCTTGGAAAAAAATAGATTTTTTTACCCAGTTTCTCATTTTTATTACAGATTATACATCCAAGTGTGTGAAATTAACAAAGAAAACCCGATTTTATCAAAAGATTTTTTGAGAAATCTTGTCGTGAAGTGAAGAATAATTTGTGACTACAAAGAAATCTAAAAATTTGGTAATTCAATCATAACCTTATTTCTAGCCTGTATGATAGTCTTAATATCCAAAAATATGTCAATTCACTGCCGTCATCTATTTTTAAATATCAAAAAGTAGCGTTTTATACCTTTTTGGTAATGTGACTAATTGAAAAGATGTAGAATTTTTTTCTCACCAACATTTGTAATGAATTAAATTTGGTATTTAGGATTTTCTTCCTTCTCATGAACATTGACATACATGTAAATAAGCGTTTTGTTCAAACTAATACACACATTTTAGAATAAAAGGCAACTAAGTTTGGTAACGTGAGTAACTATTGTAACGTGAGTAACCAAAAATGTAACATGAGTAACCAAGTTTGTTTTCCCAAGTCACCCAAACTATACCCAAACTGACTTTTGCTTGATAATGTTGCATTTTATTGATAACTGTTTATCTTAAACCAAAGAACTTCAAGCATTAATACTTTTAAGCATATTTTATGCCGTTTATGGTGCAAATTGGTCCTTGAGACAGCTTCAATACATAAAATAATATCATATAAATTTCATTGAATCCAGGTTAAGTATTTTTATCAAATCTTGATGTAATAAGGCAGACACCTGTACTTCCCTACATTGAAATTAAAATGTTTATGTGGAACAAAAGTTAAATTAAGCTACCCGGCACAATGGTATACCCTGGAACCCATTCTCCATATCATGGTCTCTGATAGTGTGGCCTTTTGCATGGACCCTATATTCTGGCTATAGTGGCATGCACGTGTACATGACCTTTTAACAGACTCTCTGAACCTGAGAGGTTTGTATCTACATGTATCTGTTGATTCTGTTCTGATGGTTCAGCATCTTTAGTTAAAAAAAAACCTAACTTACAGCTGAACTTAAGAGGAAACATTAAATTCCTGATTGGGGATCAGTATGCACTGTAATAGTATCAGAATAATACTGAAAACCTCAGAGTAGTACTTGCCATTGGTGAGTTAAAATGCAAATGGAAGTCAGGTTTGTAGTAGTTCTAATGCCTATTGGGTGGAAACAGACTAAGTTTGATACTTTAGTAAAATAAAAATTATGGCATGTAATTCTGAGATGGGTCGGACAAAATGTAACGTGAGTAACCGTAACGTGAGTAACCATGTTTTTTTGTGGATTCCAAAAAAATTAAAGATACTAGAGGATTTGTTTTACTCTTATTGTGTGTGCCCCATGGCGTGGTCTTTTATCCATGTTGGCATGTTGGCTTTTTATGCAAATGCAGAAATGTAACATGAGTAGCCGATATTGTGTGTCTTGTACTCTTGTGTATCATACATAACACATATTTCTGGATGTCATCTTTGGTGCTTAGGTAGGTCTAGGTCTACTCTATCTACCATGGGGATAACAGTTATTAAACCTTTTCGGTATTAAGTAATTACAGCCCAAGGAAACTCAAAGGTACATCAAAAACGTAACGTAAACTGTTTCTGAGTAACCGTGGAATTGCCCGCCTAGTGACTCTGATGACTCAAATTGAACTGTTCATTCATTGCTGGTGGTGATTGGTACACGCAGTATCTCTACATTTCTTGTACACTGAAGTTATCATTGATGCATTTTCTAGACCATAACCAGACACGTGTTTTTGCCTTTGTCAATGTTTGAGCTATTTTAGTTTTTTACACTTTTTGTTTCAATGATATCATTTTTTCTGACCACTAAATCAAAGGTTGCTGTTGTTAAGATTGCTGTTGGTAAAAAAGTGAAGTGAAGCAGAGGATTTTGTTTTGCTATAAAAAATATCATGAAAATTAAGTGTTGGCTTTTATTATTTCAATTAGTTAACTGAGTCAAAAAAGGGAACAAGTATAAGAAAGTAACTTGCAGTGGACATCATCTCTCAGTAGAAGAATTGTCTGCATGTTCTGCATGAGTAATGTTAAGGAAATGAAACCAGATGCATATAACCATAAATTATTACATTGGTGATCATCATTTTAATTTCACACAAATATGTTGAAGTTTTGGTGCCAGATGGAAACACTTTATGAATAAGAAGTACTACATGAAGAAGCTTTTATATGTCTGTACGAAGGTAATTTTAAAGACAGGTACCAATCCATCAAAAGTGGCCCAATGGGGTTAATGCCACAGATTTAGTGAAGTACAAAGAACGTGCCATGGTTATAAATATGGTGTTAATTTTGTTTACTTCATCAGCTTCTGACTTTTTTTATCATTTAGAAATTTCTTATGCTTTTTTACCAGTGTATTTTTATTCATTAAGTAGTGTGATTTATATAATGTACAGATTATAATTATATTTTAAGTTATGTCATCTTCTTATGTGTAGACTGCTGTTTGTATTGCTTTTCCTCTATGATTTTACACCAGGACAAGAATTTCATGTCTGCTTTTAACTTACATGACAAATAAAATATGAATATGAATATGACTATGAATGGACTAATCCTAATTATTTCTATATAACAGATTTCTGATTATGACATACATGTAGTTACAAATAAACTCAGGACATTTTACCAGGCCTCAATAAACATATGCATGCCACTTTGCAAACCATTCAAAAAAATATACATTACTTCTGCAGATTTGAATCTGTTTTCCTTTTAATTAAATTGAGAAGCAAATGAAAACTTAACTTGTCACTTGATTTTCTCAACATTCTTCGCACATGTCACACAAGGGTTAAACAAGCTTCATAGATTGGTTTGCAAAGTCTTATCCTGACCAATAGTCCCTGCCCACTGCGCATGTGGGCATTTATCACATGGTCTTCTCCATTGCCACAAAGCATGTTCCAGCTGCGCACATTGTATGTGCGTGCAGGCATGTCGGCCATTTGTGGATGCAATGTTGGACGTAAGTCACAGCTGAGATTGGTCAGAGCACCATGGGGCTGGGCTTAATGCATCGCTCTATTAAAGGGAATGTACAACATTTGCTTTTGCTCCATTTTTTAGAAATAAATGAATTTGGAGGATAAGTATGTTACAGCAAATATTGTTAAATGACTTGTTTCACATTTTGGGCTTGTAGATGCTGGAAGAACAAAGAAAACCATTTATGTTCTTGTAGTCTGCTTCCCTGACCCCACTTAAGATGAAACGGAAAATTTATAGACTTTGGGGAATTGTAAGGTCAGCGAATCAGTCTAGCAGGCTTGTACCCCTCCACAGGTGTGTAATCAATTGTAGAGAGTTTTTGCAGTTTTTGCAGCAAAGAGTTTGCAAGCAGTTTTTGAAAAAAGCCAGTTTTATTCAACGCTGGTCGGCCGACCAGCGTTGAAAAAATACCATTTTTCTTCAAAATGTCAGCACCCCAGGAGCCACGATTTTACAGGATGCTTTAGACTGTCATTCCCTAACAATCCAGTAAGGTATTTTGTGATAATTTGATCATTTCATTTTGTAATGTTTGCAAATGTTGTATCTTCCCTTTAAGTGCATGTACATATGAAGGTTTTCCAAACCAAATATTGTATACTGAATCAATGATGAAACACTGTGTTTCATGTGTCCATGTATTTGCTCAAGGAAAAGCCAAGGTGGAGCAATGGGTGGTTAAAATGAACAAACTGACAGACTGGTCATAGTGTATTCTTCCTAGCCTCAGTGGCGCACCCGGGGGGTGGGGGGAGGCCCTGGGGGGGCTTGAGCCCCCCCCCCCAAGAGGTTGTCAATTTTTGTTTAGTCCCATGATTTGACCTCGGTGATATGAATGTGACCTTGGGTGATATGAATTTTCGAGTAGTATAATAGGGGTGTAAATGGCGCCACCAATGTCAAAATAGGCGCCCCCCAAAAAGTTTTTGAAGAAAAATTAACTTCTAAAAAATTTGGGAAAAAATGTGAGCCCCCCCTGTGTGCGCGCCACTGACAAGCCACTATTGTCGACTTGATGCCTGCTCCTCAAGCAAAGTTGCACACGGACTGACATTGATTTGTCTTCCCAGGGCTCACTCTGAGAGAAAAAATATCATTTATAACTATGTAAATATGGGTACAGTGTCGATATATGCACAAGAAGGGTAAACTGAAATATCAAGGACTAAACCTAAAATTTGAACTAATAAAAAAATTTGGGATGAAATATGGACCCTAAAATCACTCTGTTTTGCAATTAAGTGGCAGGATCATCTTTCCGAATGGCGATTGGCTTCAGGACTACTTATAGGGGTTATTATCTTTGGAGGGAAATATCACCCAAAAGTAATAAGATACTAACTGAGGCCACGTCCGAATGACTTGGTTATGGCTAGATATAACACACGGGTCTATGGGAAGTGACTGCAGAAGCTTCCCATAGACCCGTGTGTATTTTCCAGCCGCAGCCAAGTCATTCGGACACAGCCTTACTTTATTTTATGCTCTGTACATTAGGGTCATTCATTTAAAATGTGACATTCATCAAAGGTGGTTAATTGACTGTACATTACAACAGAGAGGCTAGTTGGGTTAGAAATGTCAGGAGGAAATGAGAACTATGTGTAGCACCACACTTTGATCACTGACCTACATTTAACCAACACTTTTCACAGTGTGATAGTCAAATAAAAGAATTGTGAAACAATACAAGACACTGTGGAAAAAATAGTTGTTGAAGCAAGTTGCCTGTCACGATCATGTGGCATTCACAGTGATCTATACAAGACTGTTTCTATGCTGGCAAAAATGATAGCCAAACCATTTTTTATTTATAGGACATTTATAACTTGGGTTCAACATTTAGCATTATTTTGTGAGGAGTATGTGTTTGTACTGGAATATGAGATCTGAGGTTGACAATATAGATGCACAGTACACAAAGACTACATATGTTGAATGGATTCCTACCAGTGTATAAAATAGTCAATTGTTCCCTTTTCAATTGTAGTTTCATCTACTGGACAGGCTGATTTATATTGAGTGTTTGCTAATTTCATATTTCTCTTTCAGCCAGCATACATTCTCAATGCATGTCAGCCAAATGTCAATTGGTACTGCATGTATTTATCAGTCCTGTATCCCCCAATTTTAATGATTTTTTCACACCCCTTGGGAGTGAGGGCAAATTATAATAGATGCCACCAATGGAAGTTTCAATAAACCATCATAACTTCATCATTTAAGAAAACTGTTCCTTGTGTTTGTCCCACTCCCTTTTCAAAATGTATGCGCATGGCATTTCGGGTTCTTGGCTTTTCAATTTTGAAGGGGGTGGGGGTCTTCAGAAAGGCTTCTTCAGAAAGGCAGCATTCATTTTTACAAAGAGGTTTTTCAAATAATTACCCCTTAAAATGTGAAAAAGTGGTGGGTAGCCGTGTTAGTCAGATAATAGCCAAAAAAACCCGAATGTAGCACTTTAATGACTAACTAAAGAAAAATTTGTGCATAAGCTTTCGTAGCAACAACTACTTCATCAGATGCAATGAAGAAAACAACTTCAACCAAGGTTTATATACAGTCTAGTACAATCTAAACAAAGGATGGTAACAAGTCAGTGCTGTAGTGTGACAAAAAGCCACGATCTCTATTGAGCCAGTGTGAATAACCAATACAGTGATCAATAACAAGAACATTACCAACTTATCTCTGTGGGCATTGTTAGATTGTGGGTAATGAGCACATGTACTCACCTTGTTAACACAAGACAGCGGACCTGATAATCAGAGATCTTTCTCTTAGCTTCAATGTTAAGTTCATATCCTGGATGGACTTCAATCTCAGATGCATCAAACAATGGTGGTCTGGGTCTGGATGCATACTGGGTGTAGACATCTCCTATTGAGTCTCTAGACAAGAGTGACTGTGGTCGTAATACCGTGGACTCAGCATCTACAAGTGACATCAGGGACATGGTTGAGGTACTGGGCTCTGAGGTTTCATTCAGACAGATCTTGGACCCACGTCGAGTCTCATCCCGGAGTTCCCGGCTGTAGCGGTACTGCTTGGACTTTGACGTTGTTGTCCCTAGGGTGAGCTTCCCAAACACAGATTGGACCTTCTCCATGGTTTTGGAGCTTCGGGGGGACAGCTCTTCTTCTTGCCGTTCCACAGAGGTGGAGGATTTCTGGCGGGCCTGCCACATCTTACGCAGTGCACGGGGGTTGTTGTGACCCTTACGGCTGCCCTTGCGGAGCTTTCGCACAGCCTTGGGCCCAGCCTTAGGCTTATGCTCATCATCGCTGCTGGTGATGGTCCCAGGCATGTCTTGTACCTTGGCAAGATGAGGCAGATGTGATCTGGTACTGGTATCAGTGTCACTACCAGGCTGAGACTCTGGCAACCCTTTGGACGATACCACGACAACGAACTCCTTCAATGTTTGAGAGGAGGTGTTCTGTGGTTTCACATCATCTTCATCATCACTCACAACATCATCTCCAACAGCCTCAGCTCTCTCAGCCTCAGGTCCTTCTTTTGCTGCCTCATTATTCAAGTCTTTATCTGATTCTTCAGAATTCTCCATTTGGTTATGGTCTCCATTTTCCAGAGTTAAACAAGATTCTGGCCCAACAACTTTGACAGTTGTGTAGATGGTTAAGTGGCCATCAGCTGTGCCCACCCACAGGGTGTTTTTATAGGTAAGAAGTGAGGTGATCTTGGACTTGGCAAGGCTTTCATGGGGCTGGGGGAAAACATAGGAGAGATAGGAAAACAAATCAAGAGAACCACAAGATGGTTAAGAAAAAATATAACATTGACAGGGATTTATGTACATCACGATGGCATCATCATGTGACTTTTTCAGCATTTCTCATAAACAAAACATGCTCAATTCAAAAGTCATTTTATTAACATGGACAAAGTTGTGTCACGTTGGGTAACATCAACAAAAAAGCATTTATACATACACATATACATTTTCAAAGTCCTATATCAAGAGAAATACCAACCCTGATTGGGTTGAACTTCATCTACATGTTCATAATAAGGGAATAAATGTGTGCTCCGGAGGTTTTTATCACTCGTTTAATACCGCTTAGAGTCTGGGTGCTGATAATTACCCGAGCCGGAGGCGAGGGTAATTATCAGCACCCAGACTCTAAGCGGTATTAACCAGAGTGATAAATACCGACCGAGCACATATTTATTCCCATTCATACATACCTTATCCGTAAAAAAAAAATCAAATAATTCGTTCAAAAATCCCGGTTTTGTTCAACAAGTTCACTTCTTGCTTTTTGAAACATCCCTCTAGCAAAATAATGGAGTGTTCAGCTGGCAAGTAAGATGTAAACAACCCTTTTATGGAGATTGACGCGCGCGTAGCATGTTCTGCGCGATGTCACGCAGAACGCACCTGGGGCGTTGCGTTTTGAACTTAGAACTATAAAATTCTGACTCGCTTGTAGTGTTGCGCATGCCTACGTGAGGATTGTGAACGTTCAACCAATGAAACGGTAAGAGGCACTGGATTTTTAGGAGTCCACATTTTATGTGACACTGAAAAAGTGTTTAAGACCAGCTAGCCATGTCTTTATCATCCGTTTAAGACCGGCCACGTGACGGGCTCTCGACCAATAGGAATAGCTAAACTGTCTGAGGTATTTATGAATAGGCTGTTATATGTTAACTAATCTTATGTTTTAAAGCTTTGTCTACCTTTAAATTATAGCTGGCAAACAAATCATACTAAATTCAAAACTGTGTTTGTGTCATAGAACATAAAGATGTGAACAGATGTTATCATGAAATTATCATTTTTTTTATCTTTTATTTTCTTATTGTTGTAATCAAATTTATTTCCAAATTGAAATCTAGGCTAGAGACTAAATAAAACAGTGTTTTGTTATCACTTGGTAATACTGAGCAAATTCATTCCAAAATTTAACGTATGTACACTTCACAAAACTATGATCGTAAGTATCAATCTCGTTAATACATAAACAACATAGCGGACTATTTACAATTTTCCATTTATATAATAAGTTTTAAGTTGGTGGTATACGGTGTAGAAATTTGTAATTAAATTTTCTTAACTTAGCTTCTTTTATATCGATAGTTTTTTTGTTTCCACACAGAATTCCACTGTATTTCTTCATTTGTGACTAACTGGCGTTTTACTTTTTTCATCAATTAAAACCTTGTATATTTCTTAAGTTGTAATATTTTCTAAACTGCTAAAGGCACCATCAAAGGGAGTTTTGTTTTTATTATTTGCTAGGATTATTAACCATTCTTCTAGCATAGCCACCTTTAATGTATATATTTCTGCTAACCAGTTATGTTTCTTAACTAGTTTGTCTCTTATGTAACTTAGTAGACAGTTCACCATTTTCAGTCAGAAGGTCATTAAGGCCAAAAAAAAAAGTCTCCGGTTTCTGGTATGCGCGCGCGTCGCCGTAGCCATGCGTGTCAGCAAAATGAAAAAGTTTTTTTCAATGAAAGATGATGTCTCAAAACCGCCAAACTCACTGGTTTGACAGGAATCCTGCTGCTGCACAATTTTCACGTGTTTTTAGATGGGGTTCGATCGAGAATAAGCTTTATGTGGCCTCTCTTGGCTCCCATATATTTGCACTAAGTTTAGTCGGGCACCATTTGCAGTCATCAGCCGACATTTGAAGAAAAAAAAGGTAAAAAAAAAAAAAAAGCCACTTCGCTGCACCACTTTTGGGCAAGATCCATGCCAGAAACTGGAAACTTTTTTATTTGGCCTAACGTAAATGATGTTGGATTTGATCCAGTTGCTTGTTTTTTATACTTAATGTAATTATTACCCCACAGTATTTGTGCTTTTATATCAGTTGGCTGTAAATTTATGTTTACTTACAATCTTTGTTGAGTTCAGTTCCTGCCAACAGAATATTAACTCTTTATAAAATTGTGGAAGGTTTCATGTAATACGAGAACAGCACTCTGCTTTTTTAAAATTCATATTGAGGACTGAAAGGATTTTTCATTTGCCCATCTTTTTGTTTAACAATTTCAATATCCAGTTACATTCCAGTGCTATATTATGAGATTGGAAGTCGGTTAGGTTAAGACCGCCTTCGTTTCAATTGACCTATCGCCGTTTGCGAGTTAGCAACGCCCCTTAGACAACCCTATGGAGTTTTTGTGCACTAATTTTTGTTTGTCTCAGATTTTGCGCATTCTGCTTCTGTTTGTATATCATGTAATTGGACAATATTTCACAAGCTGCGTTGACACGATTCTACCGCAATAGGTCAATTGCAAATCATTGTTTTCATTGGAATTTTGTCTTTTTTGCCCTTTCGGATAAAAGGAAACATTAAGTTATCTGTTTTCGAAACATACTTTTGTGGGGTTGGAAAAACAGATACTAAAACGGTAAATATTGGTATTGCCAGACTTTTACAATTGTTACTCTTCCTGGTAATGTCAGATGCCTTCTTTTCCATTGATTAATTAAGTTCGCACAATTTATCACCTTTTCTTCCCAAATTAATTCATAACATTCATTCATATTATTTCCAAAATAGACGCCTAATGTTTTAATTGGTTCCTGCTGCCAATTTACAATTTCTTAAAAGTTTTGCTCCAGATCTATGTTATCAATAATTATTCCTTATGTTTTGCGGACATCAAGTTTGGTCCCGCAATTTTTCCAAAATTTGTCACAATATTGATGGCATTTGTAATTGATTGCACAATCAGATAAAAAAGAGTTGTATCATCTGCGTACATCGAAATATGCAAATCTTTTTGGTTGGTTAATTTAATCCCATTAATTTCTTGGTTCATTCTTATTCTATTTGCAAGAACTTCTGCAATGATAAGGAATAACAATGCAGAGAGAGAACACCCTTGCCTTAGGCCTCGATTCAAAGTGAACAATTGAGACATATGGCCCTCGTTAATTATTGTACTTTGAATATTTGTTTACATTGTTTGGAACCACTTTATAAAACTATCTCCAAAATTGAATTTTATAAGCGTTTTGAATAGAGAGTACAGTGTCAAAAGGCTTTTATAGTCCAAGAAGAGAACTGCCGTATTTTTTCCTTTATTTTACATCCTTTGATGTAACTGGACTGATCTTCTTGACTGATGTTTCCTATTACACTTGATAAACAATTTGCTAAGGCTTTGGCAGCTGTTTTGTAATCAATGTTTAAAAGACTAATAGGTCGCCAGTTTTTTAAATTGGTTCAATCGCCTTTCTTTTACAAAAGTGAAATTAAAGCATGGTGTTAAGATATAGGGAGTTCTCCTTCTTTATAACTTCTATTCATTGAACCTGTGAAGAGGAATTAATTTTTTTCCACAAAAACTTGATAAAATTCTACGGTTAGACCATCTACACCTGGGCTTTTTTAATTTTTTAATGCTTTGGTATATTCTGCTTCAGTGAGTAATGAAATCATCATGTTACCGTACATAACATTTAATACAAGGTCTGATAGTCATTTAACTTGTACATAGAGTATGATGCTAAAATGCAACATACTTGTGCAGCACTGTGCTTTTCCAGGAGCTTGCATCAGGCGAAAAGCAAAGGGCACCCTCTTGTAAAAGCACAACGTTTTTTTCTTCTGCAGTTGATTACAGAAACTTCCCATAAATAATCAGATCTCATCAGCCTTTGATATCCCTTGTTTTATTCAAGTTATATCATGTCTGAATTTTCAGAGGAACCCTTGACTCAGGTCCAGAAATCAGACTTTAGTAAAAGGAGCATTGGAAAGACTTTTACAATTTTTCAGAAGGTAGGTCCAAGTAATGTTTACGTTAGATATGACCTGAATCCCTTGGGGTTTAATGCACAGTTCTGGATTGAGAGGTTCTGTCGAGACTCTTTGTAAACAATGCCCAAGGACTTGTGTACAAATAACTTCCTATTCTCTGGTGTTACCTTGGTGAAGATTGGCGTTTGGTCTGTGGAGGTATCGTGAAGTAGAACACACTGCAGCTGCTCTTCATCCCACAACATTGCAATAGCTGAGCCACGGACAGTAACCCAGACCCCATGATCACCGAGGTACAGCCCAGAGATGTGGATATCAGGACTCTTGGAAATCTCAAAACCATCCTTGGCATTCAAAGAACTGAAATCAATCAATTAAGCATTTTCAATTTGGAGAAAAAGATGTTAGATTTGTAGAAACCATGTAGATATATCTTTTTTATGACTCTGTCAGTCTTCACAGATTGAAAGTGAAGACTGAGGTAGCATACTGTTTAAAATGCCGAGTTACCAAACTCGTTCTTCTTAGAACCACACAAAGTCACAAAAGAGATATATCTACACAGCGCCACCAAAAACCTAACATGTATTGACTTCCCACCCTACTAGCGTTCAAGTCTTAGGCTGAATCCGAATCAACTGTCTAGAGCTAGGTCTAGGTCAACGCCCATTGAAAATACGCGGGGACGCGCTGACAATAGACGTAGCCGTAGCTCTGGAAGCCCGTTTCGGACACGGCCTTACTCAACTTTGAGCAAGTTCTGTTACATGATAAGGTAAACCATAGTTGGATTGTCTTGACTAGAATGCATGGTGGTTGGACTACGCTGACTGACTATTTGGAACTGACACCCAGAGGGATGGTTGCATGGCTGGTTCCAGGGGCGGATCCAGGTATTTTTGCATGGGGGAATTTTCATCAGCAAAAAATTCTGAAAATGTAGACAGGGTTTTTTCTCCAGACACTTGGTCTCCGTAAAATCAAAAACTGGGGGGGGGGGGATGCTGTTTAATAGGGGATGCTGTTCAAGTCTGACGAATATTAACACTAGATTACAGAATGGTGTACAAATGCCCCCTTTCTAAGCTGCCTCTGTCTGTATTTTGAACAGGTGGACATGATACCTGTATAATTTTTTGGGGGGTGTCAAAGCAGGGGGGGGGGGGGTTCGCATTTTCTAGGAAGTTCTATGGGAAATTTTTTTTTTGACAGAGCTGGGGGTTTTATTTTTTACATATTATTTTCACACATGGGAAACAACACATGCCACACTGCATGACAGACACACACATCATACGCAAGTGCATGCATGTGTCAGACATTTGTCTGAAAATGAACCATGGTTGTGACTGGTCAAAGCATCATGGACTGGTCTATTATTGGGTCAGACACTGCCGTCAAGAGTTTCAGCACAAAGACTATGCATTGTGCACACTGACTTGTTGAGGATGCTGACAGCGTTACCACAGGCACACCATATCTTGTCCAGCTTAGGGAGGTAGAGAACGCTGCGTATTGGGCTGGCACCGATGGCGTGATAGAAGACATCCCGGGGACTGGCATGGCTCACACCCTACAAGTTACCAACACAAATGTCATGGCACAAAATCAGAAAGTCTTATCCTAGAGTTGCTCATCCTGTGCTCTTTAACAAATTGACTTTTTCTGCTTACAACTGTTTAATGTCTATGTTACATTTTAAAGTATGTTTCTTCTTTTTGTCATTTAGAGTCTGCAACCTTCAGAAAAAGACTTTTATTTTGGGTTGCTAACATAGCACAAGATCAGCGTCAATTATTTTCGGGCTGGTAATAATTTAGTTCTGCAAAACACTTATTCAGAGAGCACATTTTTTTCAATCAATGTCCCAATTAAAATTGAACAATTTGTATTTACAAATAGTGATTAAAAAAACAAGTATTTGTCAAGGTGAAGCTTGGGAAGAGCAACAAGACTTTCTAACTCAAAGGAAATGGCTACAAATAACCGAATCCCATTTTCACCATGTATTTTAACTTCCACAGGAAATCCAACAATATTTTTACTCAAGAGGACAGATGGGGGGGGGGGGGGGGGGGGTTCTGATTTGTTTATTACTTCGGTTGGGGGGGGGAGAGATCCAAAATCTAAACTGCAACATTATTGAAGAAAATTGTGCATTACGTTTTTTGTTTGGGGAGAGGCAGGGGATGGACATTTCTGGTTAAATTCTATGAAATCTCTGGGATAAATACTTGAAGATTGTGTAAACCCTGTAACTTCCATTTAAAACATTACAAAATGAATTTCTCTTGAAATTATTGTTGCTACACAAAACATTTCAAGTATGTGTTCTTTAACACAAATCTCAGCGATGGCTGATTACTAAAAAAAAAATGACTACATCACAGATATTGCAGGCATGTTTTAATCATAATTTGGACTTACCTCAATAACAGCCAGTGTTCCATCTGCTAATCCAATGTATACATTCCTTGTTTGTGGATTGTAGACGATACTTAGAGGAGTGTCTCGTAACCTCTCAAACCAAAGCTCCTCCCTAAACAAAAATCAAATGCCATCAACAAAACTCTGCACAAATGTGCTAATCATCATGGTCACTTATCATTGACCTTTAGTCAATACATGTACCGGTACATGGTGCAACAAACAATTGCAGCAGGAATTGATCCTACCGTACCAGTGCTCTATCAACTGAGCTATTCACAGCAATGTTTGCAATGCTCCCAATCTGTCAATGTCTTTGCTCATGGGCACCAGTCAGGAGACATTAATAAATCGAATTTTGGCAGAGATCGTGCTTCAAGTCACAATGCTTGCAACATTCCTGAAAAGTAAGCAATAACACATGAAGCTAAGATAATCATCCTCAGGGCCCTGTATCCTCCGAGATTCTAGGCCAGATTTGGCAAGATTTTGGTGGACTGCAGACTGAACAAAAAAGTCTTAACAGGGTCTTAATGAGCAAATACTGCATAGCACGAGATTTTTAAGGATAAATACTTTTAACCAAACATACACAGTGAAAGGGATTATAATCAGGTTTCAAACAAATTATTAAAAATCAGCATAAATTTTGTTCATGAATTTCAAAATAAATCCAAGAACATGTAGTACACATTAAATTTATAGAAACATTACTCATCATAGAATTCTTTGGAGATATTTCCTGCCTATTCAATTATTCTTTTCAAGGTGTATCACATTTCTAGGACTATTCCATGACTGGATTTTTATCCTATGTTGTTTCTTTTTTCGTCTCTATGTGGGAGCCCCTGATAAGTCAATAGTTTAGCAACACAACTATATATACTTACTGAGTTCCGATACTGAATGCATACAAGAAATTTGAGACCGTTCCCAATAGTGCCATGTCAATGCCAGCCATGGTTAAACACACAATGCGGTTGTCCAACTAAACACAGAAGAAAAAACAATGAATGTGCGTTGATATCCACTAATTCCATCAGTTTGGCCAAATAATGTATTTATGATTTCACAGTACTGATTTATTTTTAGAAGACCCCCAGTTTTCAGCCGACCTGCCTGAGAATCCAGGCAGCACTGGATGTACAGTTTCGGACAATCCAGTGACTTTTCCATTAATCCTATGCACAAAATCCACACATTTTACTCATATTATGGTAGTGACAAATATTTGAATATTCAAAATATATGACCGATCATCCAAGATACAAAAATTTGTATTTTGTATTTGTTATTTTGTATATTGAAACCCTTTCTTTGTTTCTAATTTATTGCATTCTGGCAGTAGTCATCAATGAACATAATAAGCTCTTATAATGATTCCATACTAGTGCCATAATACAACTGACTCAGCCCTCAACTCATACAAGCTTATACAGTAACTTGTACCCTTATTCCATAGTTCTGTTTGATGCATTTGCCAATATCAACTCGTCCAACCCAACCCTGCCTCAACTCTCCACGGCAGACTAGTAAGTGACCTGCAAAGATAATGACAAAGCAAGGACTTTAATATGAGGAGTTGTTGACTAACTGTCCTTGAGAGTCCATTGCAGGCACTGTACATGGAATTGAACTACTCAAAAGGCAAATACAGGATGTATTGCATGCACGCGCTGCTTGGCTGCATGAATAGCACAGATTGTACACAACTAATTATCATATGGATGTGTGCAGACCCTATTATCTTTGCCTGAGAGGAACACACCCAAATATGAGCGCACGATGGAAATGATTCTGTCAATAGCATTAACGGAGCTCTTTCACATATAATGTGCATTTCTGGGCTCTAAACCACATTTTCAACACGAGAATAGCTTCAGTATCATTAAAAAGTAGAATATACATGTAATACTCCACAAGACTACATCTTGAAAATGTGCAGATTTTGTGTCCAAGCGCATAATGAAATTTTGGATAACATTTGGTACTCAGAAATTGTAATCTGTCAATATTTTTGTCAAGGTCTCTTCTGCGTATATGGGTAAGGTCTTCATATTCAAAAGTCATTGATATTGTATCCAACTATGGCAGATTTGATGTCTTCCAATGAGTTTATCAACATCTTCCTCCTAGACCGTAGGAAGGCTGCATGGAAGGTGGAATCATGCTCATACCTGAGTAGCACTCCACTGCACAATCCATCTTCAGATCCTGTACAAGACCGTCTTCCCCTTCACTTTGGAAGATGGGTGTGGCCGGCGCGAGACCTTCCTGTCTCTCAAACTCCTCCCTGGCTTTCTCCTGCTGCTCATAGACAGCTCGCAGGATGTTTATGTAGTGCTGCTGCTTTTGCTGGATCCAGGCCAAGGATGGGAAATTGTCGTTGCTGTCTCTAACAATCTACAAGGAATAAATGCACACACACACAAAGTTTTATGATGATAGTGATTGCTGAATGATATTTTGAGAAACTTGATGAAAATTTTTAGAGTACACCAATAAATAATGTAATGACACAGTCCCTGTATATGAAGACCTTAGTTGCAAAAGGGCTTATATCCATTTATATCAAAAATTAGTTTGAACCTGCAATGGTTAGGGTTTGACTAGGGCTACCAGGTAAAATAATCAATCTGTTCCAAAAGGGGTTTTCATACCACAGTAAAATCAGACTTTTGCCATGTAAAAGAACATAAATCCAATACAGTTTTTTGCATTTTTCTCTAAATTTGTCAAATATCTCGTAAGCCCTTTTGCAACTAAACTCTTCATATACAAAAAATGATTTGAAAGTAATGCTCATCAGGTCCTTCAAGCTAACTTCAGAAAAGTCTTAGATTCACGTCTTATTACATGAACCCAACTTCTGTTCTCTGTTCTCTGACTGTCAGTCATTGTTTTTGTTATGTGAAGGTGATAGTGATGTATTTCCTTGCTCATCACATTCATTTAATTATTTATGTTCAGGAGAAGGTAGAAATGGGTTCCTGGCTGCCCTGACCTGCAAATTTAAGTTGCAAAAGCACAAAGAAGAGGCCCATGAAAACTCTGCTGTCAGTGCTAATGGCACAACGGTACAGGATGAAGACCCAGACAACAGAACATTGACTGTAAGTAGGTACATGTACCATAAATGAACAATGTTTTATCCCCAGAATCCAAGGTATTGGCTCCTGCATCTTCCCTCATTATTACGAGATGTATGAAGCTTCACCGCTTTGCGGGCACATTTTCGATTCACAGATGACCACACACATATTCACACACCGTCATGTTTTACTATACTTCTGGGACCCTTACTGTTCCCATCTTTTGTTGCCATAAGGTTTGTACACAAAAAGCTTTTGAGGATTGGGCCAAGGGTCATTGAGGTTATTGGCAATGTCCCAAGTCCTCAGTCATATTTAAATGATAACAGGATCAACCTTACGGATGGGGTTTAAGGGGTACTTGCATTGTTCCCCTTTATCCCTGTTCTTTACAATTTCTCTTGTGGGGTATGGTCAGACAAAGACCAACATTTAGGGTACTATTGTTCCCTTTGTGTGAGTACCCCACTAGTACCCTCTTGTAAAAACACAGTACAGCAGTGATTATAATATGAAACTCAGTCCAAAAAGTTGACGTAAAGCTGTGCATTATAGCACAGCACAAAATGTGTTTACCATTTCCCAGTAGTAGGGTTGTGCGGTTAGCAATGTCATAGGCCCTGTATGTAAGTCCCTTGTTTTGCCATGTGCTTTTTAGGTATACATGGGCCACAAAAGTGAATCCTTTTCTGTCTGTCTAAAATGGACCAAGCTTCACTTTTTCTAGATAAGACATTTTAAATGAGTTCACAGAAATACACATGCACATCAGAGAGTAACCAGACTCCAACCAGTCTCAAACATCATCATTAAACATAGTGTTAAATACTGGCCAAGCACAAATTTATTCCCATTTATAAATAACTTTTCGGTCAAAAAATCAAAACTTTTCGGTCCAAAAGTCAAAACAATGCAAAAATTATAAATTTCCAACGATTTGGTTCAACAAGTTTACTTGATGTTTTTTTAAACACCCCTCTTGCTATATTATGGTATGTCCATGTCATAAACACCTCCTTATATGGAGATTGGCGCTGCGTGATGTGGCGCAGAATGCAGCTGTATCGGTGTACTATGAATTAAGAATGACTATGAAATACTGACTCACTGGTTGTATTGCGCATGCCTACGTGAGTATTGTGAGCGTTCAAATAATAAAACGGTAACTAAAAAGCACCGGATTTCATAGGATTTCAAATTTCATGTGACACTCGAAAACTGTTTTAAGACCAGAAAACCGGCCACGTGACAGGCTCTCGACCATTAGGAATGGGTAAACTGTCTTGGGTATTTATGAATATGACATGAAATGATGCTATTATAAGATGGAATTTTGCGTCGGGGTGATATAAATCAAATTAGGTTTTGCCCTTCATGAAATGATGCTAGAATAGGGTAGTCTGAAAAGTCCAAAAGAAAAATATGGAATGTTTATGGGTACAGGGGGAGGGGGTTGGAAACACAATGCCAGGCATACGGGGGGGGGGGGGGGTCTAAAAAGTACTGCATGTACAGCCCCATTTGTCATAGGTTAATGCCTCAAATTAGTTCTAGCAATAATATACATGTACTCCAATCAGCGCTTCCTTATGTGTTTCTTATTGCAGGGGTGACATTGGGATAAAATAAAGACTCCAAGAGATCTTTTAATCATCCTGAAATAAGCAAACAATTTCATCCCTAGTATTGACAACTTGTAGAAAATATTAAAAATTTACATGCAATACAGTACTGTTTCCATCAAACTTTTTGAATTGTAGTACATGAAAAATTTTGGAAAGAAAATTTGAACAAAACTGGAATTCCAATTAAAATAGAAAGTGGTACATGCATCTCTGCCTAAAAGAGCCAGATATGAGCCAGAATCTCTCCAGCCGCTACAGCTACTTTTTTGGCCATATCACTACACCGCCATTTATTTTTGGTTGAGTCTCAGCAAATGTTTTGCTATATGTCTTGTGCATGCTTTGATCCTAATTAAACCTTTTGGTTGCCCAATAAAATATTTTGGTTGTCCCGGGACATCGGACAACCGATTTTGCGAGCCCTGCCGTTGATAGACACAACATACGATCCCAGGGTATACGTGTCGAGTGCAGTATGGCACCAACTTGCGGGGACACTTTGTGCATCCTCGGCCCCAATATGCGTGTAGGTCGCTACCAATTAAAAACTTGAATTATCTGTTCTGGGCTTTCTATGCAATGTATGGTAATCGTTACCAGAATTGGACGGAACAGTCTGATTGGTTGAGAATCAGGACAATTATGAATGTTACACTTTACAGTTGATACATATTTGTACGGTGCTGTGTGTGGTTGAATGCAATACAATATGGAATGAATCCCATTCCTCAAGGAGTCAAAAGCTCATTCCTGGGCCGTTTGGTATTCCATCATATTATTTTCTTATTTGGAAAACAACAATTTGGCATTTATATTTAATAATTTATTATAACTATAGCACTGATTTTAATGTTCTAATGAAAATCTTACGGAAAAAGAGACAGCTGTACACTGATCAAGAGAAAGATATCCCCACTCTAATCAAGGATGCTTCCTCAGCAGTACAGGTGAGCTATCATTAGCCTATCTCTATGGAAACGTAATGCACGCGCAATTCGCTGGGCGCATACATGAATACACGTCCAAATTCTTATTAGTCAAGTCGTCAGACATGTCGTGGCCAGCAAACAATAACCACGATACACAGCACCGTGGTAGTACATACTGGGTGTGTTGACAGACAATACAAAACTGTCTAGCAACTTGTCATCAAGTCTGTGCCAAACAACATCCCTGGAAATCATCAAGAGAAAAATGAAATCATATTTACTTCACTAACTATTTCACTTATAGCCTGGATCATGACTATTGCAATAGTGTGAATTGTTTGTTACACTATTTGTTTGTTTTCTGTAGTAGCCTTGATTGATTTTTCGGATAAAAGCGCTATGATATAAAGTCAATATTATTTTTATTCCAGAAACCATAATTTAGGACATCAATCTGAGTCAAACCAAAGCAGCAGTTTTAATGAACTGAGGTTAATTGCCACAAATACAATGCTCCAGAGAGACAAACATTGTCAACTAAAAAAGTTAATCTATCGTATGCAACCATTAACTCATCACGAGAAACCGAAAGAAGAAACGTCTTTCCTTCCCAGATCCTTCAAAATCAAACAGAAAGGTTGGAAATATTGTCTAGAATTTGGGAAGGTACAGGGTAGCCACTATTACACTTCATGTGGCTCAATACCTATACAAAGTGAAAGTAAAGATCTTGCAGTAGGATTCCAATTCCAACAAGAGAGAGATTTGGAGAATGCAGGAAGATTCCTAGAAAAACTGACGGACTTCATTTCAATTCTTATAAAGAAACACATTTTATATGAAATTAGAAACAAAATCTCTAGGTCTTACATCGACAATGGCTTGAATATCCTGCGTTAGCTTAGCCATGGACTTGGTGTCTTTCAGTATCGCTAAGATGTCTTTCTTCTGTAACAATGATGTCTCATGGTACTGAAGCAATGCGATGGAGAACTGGAAAAGGACCCGTAGGCCATCAAACAGGAAACAATCCCAGATACGGAGCAGCATCTGTAGAAAAAGATATGGCCAATTACAAATGAAATGTACAATTTATCAATCATAAGGAAGATTAAGTGAAATTTCATTAATAGAAATTTGGGTCAGTGAAAAAAATATTCTCAGAAATGTGAAATTGGATTGGAAAAGATTATTTTCTAATTATAAAATTGAATTGAATTTGAAGCGAGTGGGGTTTGAACCTGCGACCTCCAGGACACCGTACTGATGTGTTATCGCATGAGCTATCCAGCCCTATGTTGGTGGTTCCCCAATTCAATGTCTTTGTTCAATGGGTGTTGTCAGAAGCAACATGCAGCCAGAGATCACGCCCAAAGTCATGATGCTAGCAACATTAGCAATGCTGCAAACCTGGGAAATAGCAAACAGGGATCACGCAGAGAGGATACCGCTTTCTATCACAAAATGTCATACTCTCTCTGAGTGACACCCTTTTTGTTGATACAAAATGTGATCACTCCTCTGATGCACAAAACTACAATCATGCTTACCGTGAACGGGACAACGTCAAAGAATATAGCCAGGAACCAGTTCAGTGTGAATGAACACATCTCAATGCCTATATCATCCAGATGGGCATGGAGTCGGGGTAGTCTCAATTCCAGGATGTCCTTCAGAATATTCTGGTCGGCCTGTGCACCAATCAGACTACTGTCAAAGTAGTTGGCTGGAAAGTAAGACTCAACTACAGCAACCATGCACCTGAGCAAGAAACACACAAACACCAACTTAAGTATAAAGAGCAAATTGATCACTGTAAGCATGATAAAAAGCTCCTACATGTAAATGCATGCAAGACACTATGTCCTAATAAGGGCCATCAACAGAGGGCAGAGTGTATTGCATTTTTATTGACCTAAGCAAAAACAAAACGCTGTCTTTTAAGTTTGCTACGACTTCACACTTTCTGTCAGGTACATTTTGTAAAATTTAGCATGGTGTTTTTCAGAAAATGCGACAGGGTAAGGGTTAATTAAACAAAATAACCGTCCTGTGTTTAGAGTCTGGAAAAACAATTCCTGATCTATTTGGAAATTTGCTTATTGCCATCATCCAAAGGGGCTGGTGACAGCTTTTCTATTTTACCAAAAATATTGTTGAACCTAGGCTAAAATGTCCAATGAGAACTAAAAAAATGTAGCTGTCACCAACGCCTGTGGAAAGGGCAGTTGGAGTGTGCAAAGCTGGCAATATCTTTACCAGCAGAAGGGGGCACATTTAGTATCATCGTGACGCTTCTAACACATGTGAGGCGTTCTGGCAAAATGAGACGGAACTGGGCACAGGCCATTGTAGAGAAAATGCAAAATAACCAATCAGGGTAAGTTTTTTGATTTTCAGATGTTATGATATTTGTAATCTTTGATATGTCTAGTACACATATCTTAGGAAGATAATATAAAAATCGTGGAATAAAAGTGATTTAAGGATAAATAATTGGAATCTTCCATTTTCAAGGCCAAAAAACTCAAAACCATAAGGCCTTTTTCTCAGTATTTTACGTTTTTGACATGTTGATGAATGCAACTTTAAACAGCCATAACCTGCCAATGAAATGTCCAAATGAAGTGCAACATATACTGTAAGGAGAACTTTATTTTCTTTCCCGATACCCACCAACCCTCATTTCTATTAAACTCTGTCCAGTTCTGTCTCATTTTATCAGAACGCCTCACATATGACGTGATTGGGCAATAAAGCAATTCTCTTTTTACCAGAAAGCCATTTCCACATCCATGAAGAGCAGACAAGTTCCTGCAATGAAGTTCATGCCTTGACAGTAACCCACCTTGGGGTTGTGAACACAAAACGCCTCTAGTATCTGTCGTAACTGCTTTACCTATTAGGTCAAAGGTCAAGGAGTCAAAGGTGGAAGTCAGTTACCACTACAACAATTGTTCCTGCTTATTTCATTAAAGTGTTCTATGGCAAGTATTGGGGTTTTGGCTGTCCAGTACTTACATTTTGGAAAAAATCTACCACTATGCCACACTTTAGACTGTAAACTTACAAACAAATCTGAGCATGTGATTACTGTACAATCAGAGGCATCACAGTAATGACAAGAAGGATCAAGCCCACTTTTGTTTAGAGTAACCGTCATGGGACAGTTATTATGCACACTCGCTTTGTTTCAGCCATTACTAGAACACTTCAGAGTGTATGGTGCTCATGTGCTTCAATTGGCCTATGGAAAGACCCTATAATTCCATTGAAGAGCAAATCCAGATATAACAAGATGAAAAGAGGTTGCTTGATTCTTACCCCCTCGGCATCCTTGCTATTGAAGTAGATATTGTGGGGCATGGTACGTAGAAGATCCAGATCTATCTGTCTCCTGTATTTATCCACTGAGGAGGAGGTCCCAATGCGATTACACAGCCACTGAAAATAATCCTCACTCTGCAAAAAAGACAAACAATTCACCAAATTCATACCGTAGATATATGAAATGTAGTTTGATATTTTGAAATTGGGCAATATTACAACACCGGATGGGTACCAGACAACCTACTAAAGGTGAGGGCGGAATAAAGGTCATCCGATAAAAACGTCTATTTATCTGAACACCAGTTTTCATCGGTTGCTATGTGATATCATCCAGCACTCCAGACTCAAAAACCAGTGAGTTCAAGACATAAGTCTGGGAGCTAGATAAGTCAATGTAAAAACTTCTGTATGTCCGCGCCTACCTATATAGATTCCGTGCAAGAACAGCAGACCATGCTGTGTGGCCACTCACGCGAGATCCAATTTGTTGGTCATGTACCTCATGCAAGCACATGGTTTGTTCACATATGGCACAGAATACGACCACCATATTTTTTATCTCAATGAGCACACCCACCCATAACATTAACATCTTTGTGTAGGCGTCTGGAGCAAGGCAACCGTAGCACTCAAATGCCTCAGTCTCAAGCTTTTTTAAAAGTTGAACAAAGAAACTGACTTGAGCGGGGTTTAAACCTGAGACCTAGGGATTGTCAATCCAGTGTTCTATCAGCTGGGCTATCCATACCTATTTTTGTGCCCCAATTTTGGAGCAGCCAATCTAGCGGCAATCTAGAGGTCGCAGGTTCAAACCCTGCTCCAGTCAATTTCTTCGTTCAACTTTGACCAATTTGATATTATGCACCTAGTTTCCCTTTGCAGTTTATGTTAAAAGGGGGTTTTATAAGGTACAAAGGACAAGGCACTAAATACTCCATGAAATTCCTTTATCGGGCAGGTTTTTAGTTTTCAAAGAAGAAAGGATGTTTGTGCTGGAGGGCTGTTTAAGGCCGAGGCATTACTTGCAAGGAACCTCCTCAAAATTGAACTCAACTCAAAATTGTGCAGCGTGGGTATTCAAACTATACGGTAGCATGAAATTTGTTCCAAGTTGGATTTGCACTTGTCACGACATCAAGCCTCTCGTAAAGTCCTAGACTCCAGTGATGTAGTTCAGACTTTATCATCAAGGAACATCACATATCAGTGAAGTCCACCACAAACGAGTAAAGACTCTCAATGCTTTGACTTTCAGCATACAAATCAATTGAGTTGTTTTAATGTTGAAGTAGGATTCAAAACTATCATTTATTGGGACAATGAATCTCTAAAAGGTCTTAAAAGGTTAGGTTAAAGAAGGTTAAAGTGCAATTATGGCTCAGAAACAAACACCTTTTTATATGAAAATGAATGTTGACCTAAAAGATTTCTGACTTATTTTGTTGTGAGAAATTTCAATGATTTGTGGTTTTTTAGTCTAGAAAGGTCTCATGAAGGGTTTTTCAGTCCTAAGTCCAACAAAAAAACAACGAATGCTGAAGAATTAGGGGAAGAAAAGGCTAATCACATCAGTGATTACACTAAGGCACATAACATTGTTATATCATGTGCTTGGATACTGTAATTTCATTGGTCTAGAACAGCCACATGTCTGGGTCTATAAAAACACATGTCACACAACTATATACATTTTACGTGGAGATCAGAGATATCGCACTGTTCATTGCGCACCTTGCGCGAGTGTATGGAACCTGCCGGTGCGCTAGCTTCTCCAAATGAGAACTGCAATGTCAACTACTCAGTCTCATGTCTGGCAGGACATCCACAATTTCACTTTATCAAAGGTTATATCGCAGTAGCTTCATTTATTTCTCACACAAAGTAAGTTACAACCACTTATCTTTTTGACTTATTGTCATGATATAACAATACAATCGTTGACTGCTGTGATATGGGATACGCCGTTTTTAACCCCCTCGGGGTACATAGCACCCCACAGGTGTTACAAACATCATATCCCACATCACAGCAGTCAACAAGTGTTAAATGTCTCACTTTCTCAGCTTTGAGTTGCTTGACTTGTTGCAGGACAAGGTAGGACCAGATCTCACTGCGGTAGTCCGTTGGTATCCCATCATACACCAGTTCTCTCAGGTCATCCTGTTTGCAATCAACAACAAAAGATTTTCATTATTAGCATTAACAACTTCACTTGCACAGCTTAGCAATGTACAATTGTTGTCTACTATCATGTGGCACATGGCATTTTGAACACTTTCAGGGAAACCTGTATGTGTACCGTATCAGGACAGCTAACAATTGTTCTGATATGCCATGATTATGGACTCACTGCATCATTAGTGGCCAGACATTGGTGATCATTCGTATGAGCTCAGTAGAAGGGCTACATTGCTTGCATGCCCAGGGTTTGTGTGGGTATGCCTTAAAGCACAAAAAACTTGGACAATTTATTTACGGAAGGACAAGATAATAATTCTTTTTTGAAACCAAAGGCTAAGACATATGCATCGATATTAACACACATAACACTGGGGGTACATAACCTACAACGTATATATATGTATAGTAGTGTGTTGTGTAGCAATGGGAAGGATGATATCAAGATCTGTTTGGACCATCAAGATGGTACTGAAATGGTGCACTCCGTAAGTCCATCGAGTGGTCATACATTAACTTATGCAACATTGTACATGAGTTGTACATACACAAAATGAATTTCTCAATATAATACATTTTATAATAAAGGGTAAAAGTGTAGTTCTGGAATTTGATTCAGACCTGTTTGATGGCAGAGACGTGTCCAATAATGCTCACATATTCCTCCCATTTCTTGCTAAGCTCAGTCGATTTCTATGCAATGCGACAATAAAAAACAAACAACAAAGGCTGACATCAAAGAGCAGCTATATCAAATACATGTACTTGCTGAACAAAAAGAACAGGTTCAGAGCCAGAATGCCATGCTATCGGAGCTGTCTGTGACACATTCTCAGCTAATTGTTGTTTAGCACATAAATTTGCTGAGCGCTAGTTTCTGCTTATTGCAGCTTTATGAATTGGTCCCAGATTGGGCTCAGCATTTTGCCAATAAGCATTTTGGTATCTCGATGAAGTAGTCCAGGTCAAAGGTCATTTGGGATAAAATTGCTGACGTGTGTGTTACACAATGTTATGTGAACGCCAATTCTGCTTGTAATTAACATGTGAGCGTCGTGGCCCATCTCCCTGTGTGTTCATGCACCTTCAATGAGTGTTTGATTACCCTGAATGACCTGTGACCCATATCATTGCACCAATGCACAGTGGAAATACCAAACTAGCCTATTTCTAAAAGGTCACACAATTTCAAAATAAAGTTTGTAGACTCCTATAGCAACCACGATTAGAAACCATCATTGAGGTCGTAGAACGCTCATACATTTGTATGCCAGGGTTTCCTATCACTTCATGAAAACAAAATTCCTGATGAATTTCATTGATATTTCCCCGAGAAATTTCCAAAATTCCATGAGAAATATTGTCACTTTAACAAGGTTGCTGAGAAGTCAAGAGGCTGTTGCAGCAAAGCAACTAATATTCACTCTGCGTAAACACCCATCATAGCCAGTTAGTCAATGGACACAACTTGGACACAGCACCGTCGCAAGATTCACATACTCTAAACAGGCACAACCCTTCCCTTCTGGCTCACCGTCACATGCCCTTACTTTGCCCTGATTATTTGGTGTTTTTCCTACATTCCTTAGTTTTCCCTGGCTGCAAAACTCATTTTCAAGGTTTTATCTGAGTTCCGAAGTTGCTGGGAACCCTGTGTATGTCTCAAACATTCTGAAAATGGAAGTGTGCATTTATCATCGCTATGCTATAAAGAAGAAAGGGTGTATGTGTTTGGCTGCTCAGTGGTCGTCAGGCGGCAAAACTGCCTTTGACCGCAAAGTGCCCCCCCCCCCTCTCAGAGTGCACCTGTTTTCAACAGCTGTAGTGTGAGAAAGGTCTGAAATTGATAACATTACACCAGCAATAACAATGTCATGCATTACATGCTTCAATACAGCCTTAGAGAAACACAATGATTAAAGCTATAGTCCATCATTTGTAATTAGTGCATTTTGTTCGTTTGAAGCAACAAAAGTGTTCAAAATCTAATGAAGGATACTGAGCAACTAACCTGATGAAGTTTCAGCTAAGCTTCAGCTGTACATTCCGAGAAAAGCAGCATTCTAAGATCTCAATTTCAAATCAAAAGTTACTGAATCATGTTTTGAATTGTTTTGAATTGCAGCTATACGTGGCGTCGCGCACTGATCCGACGAATTATAACAACCGCGCGCGCGTGTGCGTCGTTCCAATACTTGTGCGCGCTGCGCTGAATAACAAAACGAACTACTAATTTAAATTTTCCTACGGTGCTTCTTAAGAATCACCGTTGGAAATGCCTTCCCAGAAAGAATAATTTCACAGGGAGTTTAGTTCCCTTACTATCTTTCAACCAAGTTTGTTTTTCAACAGTAATTACGCCAGTTACTTTTCGGATGGCTGCAAATGATGGACTATAGCTTTAAAGGGTTCACAGGTGTCAGGTTACCCTTGAAGATGCAATGAGATGATCCTGCAGTATCTGGCAGAGATAATGGAATAGTAACGGCTGGTTGTTGATTGGATGCTGAAAACCGTAGATATCTGTATGTCCCTCCATCATCACGATTCTGTAAATACAATATGTGACATGTGTGGATTGACAGCTAGTTTTCCAGTTCATCCTAGGAAGTTGTTACATGTTGTCTTATTAGACTGTCAATTATAGTTGTCATTTGAATCCTAATTAAGGAGTGACACTTATGTTATATGTCTTATTTGTCTAAATGTTTTTGTTTTTTTAAATTGAAAAAAAGTTTAGCCCTTTTTTCCAAACATTTTAACCAAATCCCAAATTTAAAAATTGAACAATTT